ACATTTACATATACATACGCCATACATATACCATACATACATACATACAGCATGCATACATACATACGTTGTACATATATACATACATACTAACATTTGTATAGCGCCGATATCCAGCTCAGCTCAGCTGCTCAAAGGCGCTTTGTTTTTCCCTCGTTCACTGGATGTCAATCTCAACGGCACATCGTATTGTCAATCTCAACTCCCTGGGGAGCATACAACTCTTGCAGCCACTAGGCGACCGAGTTAGTGTGGCATTCCCATCCTTACGAGGTACCCATTTACAGCTGGGTGGACTGGGACACATAGTCACAGTACTTTGTCCATGTTTACTGCACGTTGCTGTACCCGCAACTGGGTGTTTGCACGTATTCATGTGGCCACCATCTGGTCATATACCAACGGATTCGTGGGTTCTTTTAAGTGCACAGGGTTGTGTACCGTACACTAGGGGTTGTGACAACACTGAAAGAGTCTGCACACAAAGTTGACTCCAAGGTTTTTTCACCCGGTCACAGGTGGGCTCGATCCCGGCACACTTAAATCTGAGGTTCGAACTTTTGCGATTGTTCGAAAAGAATACACCATACTGCATCAAATATGAATGATTTTAACCTCCGTGAGAATAGATCTTTATTCAATTGTTACTATGAATTATTGATTCTCTCTCAGGTATAGAAAACAAGTCAAAACATTGACTACACAACAGTCTCGTTTCCTGCTGACTGGGTTCCGTCCTATTGCGCAACTTAGTACAATAACCAGTCCAGCATTTTGAGACCAACTCATTCAGCTGGATATATAAACATTAATCAGCATTATTTGATACATCTAATCATTTGTGTATTGCAACACTAAGCTCCTTCTAATCCTTGCGAACACGTCGTGCAGCGTGCTCTGTCGTACAGCATGCTCTCACAAATGGCAGTTTCAAAACGAGGCTCGGCCGTAAGAAAGGTTTTGCGGTGTTGTACGGCCTTGATATTATATCAGTCACATTGTACATTACAAAAATACACTTAATAAGCGCCATAACAGATGTAACCAGAGAGACAGATGAATTGAGAATCATTTTACGAGCTCATAAAACAGGGACAGTCTGTGAAGTCTGAGTTAACGTCATGCTGCCTAAAGCTCGCCATAAAATATAGAAATACGATGTTTTTTAAAGTTTAAAATTAAAATTCATTTGTAAATACTATTTTCTTGTGAAACAAGGAATTGGAATTTCGTTTAACCATAGTTGTTTGTTGTGTCTCTTTTCACTTTCACACGAGAAAATTCGGATCGGCTGAAAAGTAGGTCATTGTCTGAATTGGTTCACGAGACTTATGTTTCGGTTTGACGCAGTTCACGGGTTTAATTTGGTAAAGGGATTTGTGTAGTCAGCTAACATCCTTTGGTGGATTCATACACAGTGGTATCTTGCATAATGAAGTGCCATATGAAGTTTGGACATTTTCGCGATTTTATGTAAAAGTGCATCGTGTGACGGTACAAAATAACAATGCTTTTTAATATCGACCTTTCCACGTTGTCATGATGTCACCGCGTTTGTTAACACACGCCGTCGGATACACATGTCATCGTATCCAAATTTCATAGATCGATGCACATGGTGTTGATCACTGGATTGTCTGGTCGAGACTGGATTATTTACAGACCGCCGCCATGTAGCTGGAATATTGCTGAGTGCGGGGTCAACAACAAACAACTTGCAAAATCTTTGGCTGTGTTCGTCTACGTCTCTACGACAATGAGAGGAACAAACACTTCCAGCATGTATTGACAAAGTATATACTTATAACATGCTCAAAAACCTTCAAATGTAGAATAAGTCAGGGCATCTACAGGACAGGACAGTGGAATTGGTTCAGAACCAGTGTTGTGGTGTTTCCTTCACGTCAGTCATGCATCTGCTGCTGCTGACGCTAACCTGGCGGCACCACTTGTAACATGATAGAGATTATTTCCGTATGCTTCTTGACGCGGTGTCTTCGTTGTTCAGATATTGTTCCTTTTCTTGTAAGGTAGTTTTGCAAAACAAAATTTCAGTTATATCAGGTCGTGTCAGCTTGATTTGGGCAGCATGCCTGAAGTAGTACAGGTCAGGACACTCGCCGCTGAACCAAGACTAACGCTTAGTCTCTGAATGTATATAGGTTTAGTAGTAACAACAAAACACATTTGAATTGAAAAGTAGCCATAGTCAGATGGGAGATTCAGAACCTGAAAAAATCTGGACTTGCTTCATTTAGGGCTTTAGCATTGCAGAGAGTGCCCGGCAGTAGGGGAAAGTAATGTGGTTCAGGGACTGGGAGACACAGTACGATGGACTTTCGAGTTCTAATTTTAATCCATGTTAAAAAACATGAATCTTCCGAAGCCATTGCTTGTTAAGTGGTTCATACAAACTTTGGCTGGCCATTTATGCATTGTGACTGAGATAAAATATTGTCACTCTGACGTATGTTTTTGTTCATTAAGACCAAGGCAGAAATCTTTAGACGAGCAAACCTTCACCATCCTACGTTCGTTTTATAGGTTATACTAACCTGCACACCAGTTAACAATTTGTTTATTGACAGGCTGAAGTAACTATAAATCTTGAAATTTCTGGTTAAGTCGCAGCTATCGGAGGTGAACATTACAATCATCTTTATGTTTCTGAATGTACTTCAAGTCTTACAATGAAGAATTATATGTTTTAATGATATATATTTGTAATTAAAAATAACCTTTAATAAGTCTAGAGTAATCGTGATATTGTTGTGTAGTTTACAGTAAGTCGTGTTTACAGTAAGCAAAATCAATGATCTACTTAAAAGTACCTGTCGACATAGTCTCGAATCAAAACAAATCACTGGTCAAGCTCAGGCCAGAAACCTTAATATTTTAAGATGCAAAGACGATATTGGTCAATCATTCAGACAAATGTGATTATGTCCAACGGTGCGAATTTCAAGCCTTTACGTTAACCAAGGTTTTAGAAAAGTAATAAGAAGTAAAATATATATATTATACAAGTAACAACAATTAAGCAGTGACTCCAATAAAGTGGAGCCAAACATTACTTGTTACAACAGAATGTCAGTGTATGTTTGTTGGTCATTTTATTTGTTTATTTGTCTGTTACTTCATGTCCCACCCGGCAGCATTACAGGTTTATAATGGCGGTCTAAAATATCAGAGTGTAGATAAGGCAATGCAGAGATTGATATAATAAGCATTTTAGATTTAATCATTTAAAAAAATAATTAATAATGTTAAAAGATGACATGGATCAACCAATTCAGCGAGCTTGACCACCCGATCCCTCTGATCGTATTTTGCTTAATATTGCTTGCTGAAGAATACTTCGAATCCGGATCTTCAAGGGTTCTCCATGCCAGTGCATTTGGAACGCACCAATATAAAGACTGTCCAAAGCACTCTGTGTCTGTTTTTTCCTTACCAAACATACATATGTCTTAGCTACTTATTACTTATTCTTTAATCACTAATAAAATGCAAATTCGGTAGTTATCCTGCAGTTATATCTATGTCATTGTGTAAACAGTGAACGTAAGAAACATACTATGATGAGTGATATTCATTGACTGAATAAACACCGTGTCTCAAGAACAATCACAGTCTCTATAACAAGCAGGTACCAGATAAAGGTGTTTCCTGATGACAGGAGTACGTGACGTTCAAACACGCTTTGCCGTGACTGTAGTCACAGTCCTGTGCCCCCGCGACAAGTGTGTCATAAAACAAGTATAAAGTAATAATTCAGATCGTGGTAAAACATCACAATTTTGTTATGAATATTATTATCATAAGGTACTTATATCAATGAACGACAATATACAACTTCAGGAACCCGATGTACCTTGACATGAATGGTTACTGCTTGATTCAGAGTGAGTGAGTGAGTTTTGTTTAACGCCGCTTTTAGCAATATTCCAGCTATATCACGACACCATAAATGGACCTCACACATTCTAGCCATGTGGGGAATCCAACCTGGATCTTCGGCGTGACGAGCGAACGCTTTAACCACTATGCTACTCCACCGCCCCTCCTTCAGAGAAAACACACAAGCTGATTAGCTAAGCAACTGTTTAACATTAATAAAAGGTGAATAAATAGCTAAAACAACACTATGACAAGTATAGAAGAGAATAGTTTATTCTACAAACGAAACCAACGGTGGTACTTGTGTATAAATATGTACATACTTTTTTATACAAAATTGGCGAAATGACAGTATAGACACAGGTAATACAAAGACGTTTACTTTTCAGAATCGATATATTTAAGCAATTTACACAGGTACAAATGTAGACAGATTCCTCAAATAGTTTGCTTTGTTAGATGACAATAATGTTAGTTTATGCTTCAGCCATTCATAAATTAATTTGGAAAGGTTTGATCTTCGGTGCTGGAGAAGAGCTTTTCATCAGGTAAGTGAAACTTGTCACCAACAACAGAAGAGTTACATAGTTTACATAATCTTTCTTCTCTGGAGATATTGTGCCAACGACTACTTTCAAGCGGTAAATTGTGATCGTTAGTTATTAGTTTACGGAAAGGGAAGTAAACACATTTTGCAATAAAAAAACAGTTTTTTCAAAACAATATTTTTTAAACAATATTTATAACATCTTCCTTTGGGGTCTGTTCTATTGAGTTGGTCTGTAATTATTTCCGCAACTAGCAATGGCGTGGAGAACAGTGAAGTCCACAATTATCTAATTATTCAGAAACAAACAATAATTTTGACATTTGATGAAAAAAAACCATGGGTACTACATAGCTAATATGTATGTTTGCCGTATGAAATCTTTTCTGCCTCGACTAATCCTTCTTCTTGATACTGTTGTTGGGAACATCCGCGACAATACGGTCTGCCGATGTCAGTTGCAGTATCTGGGTTAACTTTACCCTCCAAATCATCCCAATCTTCAAACCCTAAGGTATTTTTATTATCAACTGCCCCCCAGCCCTTAGATAACCCCGTATAGCCCACTAGTACATAAACAACGACGAGAGTTCTATGGATATACGACTTCTTTCATGTTAGTATGAGCGACGTCTCGGTGTAGGTACTATCACCGTTACCAACCAAGTGATGTACAATACTTAAGGCAAGGTTATATATACATAGTAAAGTTTGAACAGTGAGTTGATTGATGTTTGCACAATAAATGAGGTTGGAGGATGTTTACACAGGAGGGCAATTGTTACACAAACAGAATAAGCTATCGGGTGAGGAGAAGTTTTGAGAAGAAGCCAGTGATATGATAGACAGGAGGATAATGGGATTATGATTGCTTGGTGATGAGTTGGTGGGGATATAATATTTTTTTCGATCTAATACTAAATCTCCTGGCAGTTCGTGTGTCAAATAAGCAACATATATGAAAGCGCTGGTGAATCTCCAAATCACTTTCCTCATCATCTGTGATGTCTTACACTTTACCATCTTCAGTCTAATGCATTTCTGTCGTAGGCTTCACGAGGAGGTCCATAATCTGGAAATAAGATAACCATAAATATTAAAACGGCTAGTTACAGGTTGAAGTTTGTTGTCGGAGGAAGCATGAGACTCACCTCCATATGCTGTGGAGACTCTAGGGCATATACAATTGTGTTGACGATGTCTTCCGTCTGTAGAGGCTGCGGAAGAAAAGATGGTTGAGATGAAAATACACAAAGAAACTTCATTATGAAACAATAATTATCTTTATAACTGTTCAGATTGTCACATTTCGAATTTATAGACCATTTAAGAGAGAAATATGTATTTGGTGGCATTTGTGAATTTATTCCCTCGTGCTGTATTCAATGGTACCATGTTGAAAAATGTCTAGAAATGAGAAATATGACAATTTGTTGATGAAACACTCTTACTTTTCCATAACAGCGTACTATGTAATGATCGGCTGTAAAGTCAAAAGCAAATATATTGATTATTCAGCTTCTCGCTTCTCCACAAAACTAAAGACTCACGTGTTTTATGTTAGGGAGCACTGTACCCCAATCTAACGTCACATTAATATATCTGAATAAACGTTTGACACGTTGACAGATTTATTTTGGCAGTATTCACATACAATCGAGAATGTTACCAAATGTTCAAGTAAAAAACGGAATTGTTTTCAGACCAAAACGCACACATGCTGTGAGCAAAATCTCTAATATTCTGCATAACTGAAGAGCCACATACTTTCTGGGGATGTTGACAATACAAAGTTTACACATTTGTGGGGACAGAGAAAGGTCAACAGAGGTTTCGAGCAATAGATAGCTTACATCAAAATATATAATAATAATAATAATAATGTCCATTTATATGGCGCTAAACACTACTGGGGCGTGCTCATAGCGCACACAAGAGTCAAGGAAAAGTAAACATTTGGTAGCAATACAAGATTACTTTAAAAGTTCAAATGAAACAGATGAGTCTTTAAGAGACGCTTAAATTGTTCCAACGACTGGGCGTCTTTGAGAGAGTCTGGCAGTGAGTTCCATTTAGTGGCAGCTTCAACATTAAAGGACTTGTAACAAAAGGACCTTGCTCACAAATTATGACGCAAGACCCGTGAAGATTCGTGTTAGAATTGATCCAGACTCGATTATATAGAGACCGCCGCTGTATAGCTGGAATATTGCTGATTGAGGAGTAAAACTAAACTCACTCACTTGTGACACAACTCCAAGTTTTACTAGTAGACCAAGTACAATTATTCACCACGCTAGTACACTTACAAGAGACTGACTAAAACGGGCATTAGACTTTTCGTTATCCTTGTACATTCGGGAGAAGAACTCTGTCTGCACTAAACGAGGACTGATAGACTGAAAAACAGGAATTATCAATTATTATAATGTCTTTGTTCTGTTAAAGCCCAGGCTATCTATTCTCGAAACGTTAGTAGCCCTACGAACTCCTTAAGCCCATTCTTAACACATTGATTACGATCAAAGTTAAGAATTCTTAGGGCTCGAACGTTTCGAGAATAAGGGCCCTGGAGTTTCAAAAGATACATACTGAACGAAGAATATTTACGCAAACACATCGTAATAAATACATTTAAGAAAACACACACACACACGTCTGTAGAGGTATATCTTTGCATACATAACCATGAATTTACAATGTATTAATTTATGAATATTCCGTTATGCCATCCCGAACAATTAAGCTTTAGTCAACACAGTGAATGAACTATTGAGCAAACTGGTAAATGTCAAGATATATGATGTTACCGTTACTCGGATCCCACTGTTCATCTCCCTTAACTCCCGTCGTAGTCCTTCAGAGAGACCAGTGACTGCAAACTTCGTGGCAGAATAGAAGTGCATGGCACTCAGCGGCATCACTTTGTGTCCGGACAGGCTAGAAACAGGAGGACACATGGGACATCACCAACACGTGGTTGTATCACACTGTGTCTGGACAGGCTAGAAACACGAGGACACATGGGACATCACCAACACGTGGTTGTGTCACACTGTGTCTGGACAGGCTAGAAACACGAGGACACATGGGACATCACCAACACGTGGTTGTATCACACTGTGTCCGGACAGGCTAGAAACACGAGGACACATAGGACAACACCAACACGTGGTTGTATCACACTGTCTCTGCACAGGCTAGAAACACGAGGACACATGGGACATCACCAACACGTGGTTGTATCACACTGTCTCTGCACAGGCTAGAAACACGAGGACACATGGGACATCACCAACACGTGGTTGTATCACACTGTCTCTGCACAGGCTAGAAAAACGAGGATATATCTCATGAGATATCACCAATACGTGGTGGCGCCATGGTAGACGTTTTGCGCTTACTTGTTAATCGAATAAAAATACAGGTTCGAAACAAAGCATGTTATCTATATTCTGCACTCTGCATTATAACATATCACCCGCTTCTAATTACTCAGAGCTCAGAGGTCAAAGATCTGAATCACTTGGGTCCTCCCTCTAATATAAAGCTGACACGCTCTATTGTCACTGAAACATTTTTCAAGACGGCATTTAATACAACTAACTATTTTTTTTCATCTGAATCATTTTTAAAAGTCCGTTTCAAGCATCACGAGATGTTTTCTGAGTACATATCTTACCCATTATATATTATTTGATAGGCCAGGGTCCCGTTTCAAAAAGCGATCGCAGCTCTACGACTGTCGTAAGTCAATGTTGAACTGTAAACGTTACCACAGTCGTAGTGTTAGAATCGCTTTGTGAAACGAGGCCCTGGGCCTGGTTCCACGAGGCGACCATATCGCTAAGATTATCGTAACTCTCCCATACTTTAACATAGACTTACGACAGTCGTAACTCCCATACTTTAACATAGACTTACGACTGCCGTAGCTCCCATACTTTAACATAGACTTACGACTGTCGTAACTCCCATACTTTAACATAGACTTACGACAGTCGTAACTCCCATACTTTAACATAGACTTACGACTGTCGTAACTCCCATACTTTAACATAGACTTACGACAGTCGTAACTCCCATACTTTAACATAGACTTACGACTGTCGTAGCTCTACGATCGCTTTGAGGAACGGGGCCCTACTCGTTATGAGGTTTCGATGAACTTGTATTTTGCCTTACGCCAATTGGAATCTCGCGAGACTTGTACTCTCTATCGTTGACGTCTATACTGAGTTTCTAATAGTGGGAACCTGGGGTGAATGACATCCGTTTTATAAATGTGTTCATATATGGACACCTTAAATTGCACTGGCTTATGACAGGACATATGATTTATTTATACATATATATAGTATATTGGATAGTTTTATGTAAGCTTGATTTGCACAGCAGTACAATGGATTGCAATATACAAATTCAAACTGAATTGCATTGCAGAATTTTGATTGTGTCAGCAGTGATAGTGAGCATGAAGTATATTACACAATTACACAATCTGACTAAACACCTTAGTCGTTTTGTGTAACAACAATCAATATACTTCAGTCTTTTCATGAAATGACTGGACATTTTAGTCATTTCGCGAAATGGCAGACCCTTTTAGTCATTTCACGAAATGACTGAAATGTTAAGTCATTTTTACGAAATGACTGATTTACAATCTGAATGTAACATATATACATGAATACAGTATACATTCAACGATGACAACTACACTTTAATGGTTAACTTTGGAAAATTATGGGATACAAATATTGATATTCAAGTCTGAGAAAAACAACTTTTGAATACTAACAATGAAATGTATATATACTGACGTCAACTGAAAAGAAGTCAAACGAGATAATTGATCAAGGGTTAAAGAATATGTCAAATATTTATCAAATCTAAATGATGTCATTATTCATTAGCTTTATGAACTTTGCTGTAACTGACCTACCTGTTGAGCAGGATGATGTGCCCATCATCCACCTTCCTCTCCTGCATGGACTTGAAGGCCTCTCTGGTGCACATGCATAAGCCAAGGATATTCACCTGAGGTAGAAATAAACGTCAAGCAAAGGCTATCTTTAGAACAAAGGGAATCCCGATTTATCTCTCAGATAATTTATTATTCCGAGTTTCATTCAATAAATTACCTATATCCTCAAGAAGATATCTGAAAACCTGATTCCAACGCTCGTTTTAAGACACTCGCTTCAAATTTAATAGTAGCGCATAGACATTCGTCGTATCGGCACATTCTGATACAGTTATCTTTCTTGCCATACAACTTCCAAGCGTGCCTGACCATGCTTCATATCTACCAAATATTGTACTGTACTCGGAGTGAAGGAAAACCAAGTTCTATGGACAGTCAACTGTTTTATTGCAATGGGTGCGGCGTTTCGGTGTAGGTACTAACACTGTTATCAAGCAGGTGGTCAGGGTCATCACTTGCTTGATAACGATGTTAGTACCTACACCGAAACGTCGCACCCATTGCAATAAAGAAGTTGACTATCCATAGAACTTGGATTTCCTTCATCATTACAAATGCCAAAATGCCTCTCAAGGAAGTTATACTCGGAGTGACCTACATCAACCATTTCCCTCCACAGGGGGGTGCTTCCTGTCAACAGGGGTTCGTTGTGGGCCAGACCAGCGTTATTGATGCACACGTCCACTCCGCCAAGGTCAGGGTCAGCCTTGATCATCTGGAACATCGCCAAGACATCTTCTTCCTTGGATACGTCTCTTCTTATTATTTTCACCATACCCGGTCCAGGGCCCAGCTCATCAGGTAGTGTCTAAAAGGAAATGACATGCACTTATGGATATTCTGTCAAAATATATTTCCCTGTTTTTCACCCCTTTTTTCCGATGACCTATCAATGTAACAAATGCCATGATCTACATATGGTGTCATGTGGTATGTATGACGCGTCCAGGATTCGAACCACCAACCTTTGGCTCTCTTTGTAATCGCTTAGTAAATTTTACCGCAGAAGCAACATTTGACAGTGAAGTGGAGTTGCGCTCAACGTATTTAGGGGTGGTGGGGTAGCCCAGTGGTAAAAGCGTTCGCTCGTCACGCCGAAGACCTGAGGTCAATTTCCCATATTGGTACAATGTGTGATGCCCATTTCTGGAGTCCCCCGCCGTGATATTGCTTGAATATTGGTAAAAGCGGCGTAAAACCAAACTCACTCACGCACTCAATGTATTTAATCGTGAACCCTTCAGTCCATATTTAAAGATAAACATGCTGTTTTTTGCAAGTATCTTTACAAACAGACTAGCAATAGTCTACTTAGAGCCGTAATCAAAAGACCAGCCATTGTCAGATGGAAAGTATCTCAAACTTATCAAACTACCCAACTCGCTCAGCTGACACTTGAACGGTAGCATAGTGGCAGAGTTGGGGTTATTTTAAGAGCGCATCAAAGGTGAAGCTCGATATTCTATGCTGTGATTTTGTTTTTGATCCCTCAATATTGTCTTGTTTTCATGAAAGATTCTAATACTACCAGAGATCACATGTCAGTATAGAGAAAACACATCGGCATATCCTTCTGTTTCGTGGCCCAAAGAGAATCACTCGGCAGATTTGGGCAGCGTTACAATGCCTTGCGATATAGTTAGACTCCCACAAATATGTTCCAAATGTATCTATCATCTGTACTTTCGGTACCTATGGACAAAACGTCTGAGATTGAAGTTGCACGTTCTTTAATTCTGAAAATTGTGAATTCCCTCTTTGCGTCTATTCTTCAGCAACACCGTATAGCTTAAACTATGCAGAGAGACATGTCTTCGGTGTGACGAGCGAACGCTTTAACCGCGAGGCTACCCAACCGCCCCGTGAGGTAGTAGAGCAAGTTTAAACAGTATTCCATGTATATCATGGCGTGTCAATTTATTGTAGGAAGAAAGCGCGGAGGAACGCTTAGATGCTCACCACTTTGCTGACAAGCCTAGACACATACGTGTCGATTCGAACCTTTGGCCTAGATTTTCGAAGCTCTCTTAGCGCTAAGATAGTCGTAAGTTAATGCTAATGTATGGCACTTACGTCTATCTTAGCGCTAAGAGAGCTTCGGAAATCTAGGCCCAGGAACACAACTCTGGACGTATCTATTGGTAATAGAGTACACACAAGTGCCTGGATGATGATAATACACTATCAACACCCGAAAACCCGATTCCAGCTGAAACTTATTGTTTCTCAGGCATATAATACCGTTTGAACACAATATAACTAAAATCAGATACTGTTGTACTTGATGTTTCGATGTTATTGATCTTTCCGAAGTTATTGATCTTTGAAAGTAAGATAAAGTAATGTTTATGACGGTATATATGAATCAATTGGAGTACCGTGACTCCTGGTAACATCAGTGTCATGTAATGCCATTGTACGACTCACGTGTGAGAGATATATGATATCAATAGGGGAATAAACTCCTCTTAAAACAAATCCTCACCTGTATTTTGTCGACATTTCTTGCACACCCCACCACCTTCATGCCATGCTTGACCAGTGCCTTGACCAGCCCCGCCCCGATACCGGCAGAGGCCCCTGTCACTAGAGCTACACGTCCCGACCACCGCTGCATGTCTGAGTGAGTGACAACAGTAGACTGCAGCAACAAGAACCATGTGGCGGTGCATTTCTGGATGTATTTTATCTGCACACTTCGACCTGCGCAACTGCGCTTCACTGTCAGACCGCCTTCGTAAATAGGTGTAATTGATCTCTTCCTTCAGGTTCGAGGTTCGAGTCCCGTCGACGTCACTTTAACAGTAATAATCTTGAAAACACATACAGATAAAAAGTCATTTCATTACCCACCTCTGCAATGTCGGTCCTTGTTAAGACTGTTCTATCTTATACTTCAAACACATATTTCAATGTTGTCAGCCAGAGTGATAACAAACACAAAATATATTTTCTCACTCACTTTGTGTGTCAGCATGACCAGCTGGATTTCAAATTATGACCGCTCGTCATTGCATGAATTTTTCCATAGAACCTTGCTTCAATCAAGCAATCTTTAATTCATACTGAAAGGCCACAGGCCTGTAGTTCAATAATTAATCATGTGTGGGTGATAGACCATTCTTTCTGAGAATAAAAGCTTTATGAATATATATGGAATATCTGTTTTACTGGAATTATTCATCAATGATATCAACTTATGAGTTTCAGGATGTACATAATAAAAGAACCTTGCTTGTGTATCACTATGTGTCGTGTACACTTATCAGAGACATGGGCGAGATTTTTTAATATCGCTCAAAATTAGCTGAATTAAGTCAAAATGAGTTGAATATTGTTTCATTATACTCATAAGTATACACTCATTCATTTACAACCTCCAAAACATGTATTTTGAGTAAAAGTAAATATTCTCGCCCATGGGCCAACATATTTTTCGCCCATGGGGAAGATTTTTTAATATCGCTGTAAGTTAGTCGAATTAAGTCAAAATGAGTTGAATTTATTTCATGATACTCATAAGTATACACTCATTCATTTACAACCTCCAAAACATGGAAAAAACATGTATTTTGAGAAAAAGTAAATATTCTCGCCCATGGGCCAACATATTTTTCGCCCATGGGGAAGATTTTTTAATATCGCTGTAAGTTAGTCGAATTAAGTGAAAATGAGTTGCAGTTTGTGTCATGATGTTTATAAACATACACTCATTCATTTACAACCTCCAAAACATGAATTCTTAGCAAAATTAAACATTCTCGCCCATGGGCCACTGTTCGCCCATGGGCCAGCCCATGGGCGAGCGAGTTTAAATTTAAAGTTTTCGAAAAAAAAATATTTCATTTTTTCATCCTTGACATATATTCATAACAACTGCATGTTTAATTTGGTCAAATCCCTTGTCAGAATACCCACAGTGCGGAGAGTTTCTGGACTTTTGTGAGTCCAGAATTAAATTGTGACGTGTTTATAAGAAAAACATACTTTTGATAAAATTACCTTTAATTTTTAAAGTTTAACTCAAATTAAATGCACTTTCTATTAAAAGGGACCTTTGACCTTATCAAAATATGTTTGCGAGTGGCATGTATATAACATTATTGACCACAATTTTAAATAATAATCTGAGCATTGCAAAACTACTATTTTGATGGAAATCGGTCAGTCCAAACCAGAGTTCATATATAAAACCATCCAGTTATCGGTTAAAATATTACCATAACTGAAATGACATGTTGCACCTTAAAAGGGCCCCTTCACGGTAGCCATGCACGGTAGCTGATGACAATCGACTTTAGATCCTTTCCTGATTGTGAAAACTCGCATCCTTCGCGGTCGCCAGAACTGCACCACATTTTCACCATGTTGTGGGTCAGGCTTCTAGACCAGTACTGTCATACTGTAACGTTATCTAAACGATTACTTTTGAGTAGAGGCAAAGCTTTTACAATAGCCTGTAAAATATAAACCCGTAACTGAAAACAAAAGCACCCCATCGGGGCACACCATGGCTTTATTCCCTACGCTGAAATTACGTCAAATATTTCCTGTACATGAAGTTTTAATATACGAGGGTCGTACAGAAAGTAGTCGGCCTAACTGTATTCTCGATATCCAATGTTTGAACAGCTTCCATTTTATCATGAAGGAATCATTAGAAACGCTATATCCAAGATGTCACATATGTAGGTAACGTGGTTAACGAGATATTAGTCATCAAAACACATTGGAGTATAATATTTGTAAAATAATTGTAGAAAATGAGAACGACCTGTCATTTGATACCTCTATGATAACGGTATACCCTCAGATGATATCATATAAAATATGTTCAAAAGGTATTGGATGACTTCCCGTCATTATCAACATTCAAAGATTTGGATTGTTTGATTTATATTTAGACGGTTGGCTGTTTTTTAAGGAATGAATACCCCACTAAGACACATTATACTGACTCCAAGCCGACCAGTCCTTGGTGTACCCATTAATGACGAGCGCCAGGCAGGGACCAACAAGTACCATATTTTAACGTCTTTTGGTATGACGCGGTAGAGGATCGAACCCGCGACCTTCCGCTCTCCGAGCGGGAGCTCTGACCACTACACCACGGAGACGGTCGTGTTTAGAACAAGTCATGTCCTTATAATTACGTCGGTGTGTGTGTGTGTGTGTGTGTGTGTGTGTGTGTGTGTGTGTGTGTGTGTGTGTGTGTGTGTGTGTGTGTGTGTGTGTGTGTGTGTGTGTGTGTGTGTGTGTGTGTGTGTGTGTGTGTGTGTGTGTGTGTGTGTGTGTGTGCCCGTCTTGTCGGACTCTTTGTTCTGGATGAAATTTCACTGATGCGCGATAATCTTAAACAATAGGGGATTACCGTATAGTCTATTTCGGCGTAACAAAGTACACACCACAAATTCATCTCGATTTTTAGATTTCAGCAATTCAATTTTTGGGTATATTTCTCTTCATGATAAAATTCATAAATATATATTTCGTATATTTTCAGAAAATGAGAAAATGGTAACTGAAGACATAAAGAAATATGAATAAACATTTTTTACATGAATATACATACATATACATAATTATTCCAACACAGGGACACTCAATTATGTGGTACGGTATTTAGGTCATGTCCAAAATGTTAAACTTACTGTCTATTTCTTCATTAGCCTGAACTAGTCTGGAATCACTCCGGACTTTGGTCTTCAGCGTGGCAAGAAAGGTGTCAACGAGAAGCTGAACTTCATCTTGATGATGTTTATGTATGTTCCTGAAACTGCTGAGATAACGGAGAACATCGGTGTTGGCGGTTGCAGGACAACCTGTCTTACAACATTTCCAATGAACTCGGTCCCTGCTAGTGCTCTTAACCCTAAACTTGTAACCTAGATAGATTAAGTGTCTACCTCCCCTTGAATTTGGAATGAACTGAATGTTAACTTGTGTGTTTGATATTTTGCAATGACGGAACCATGTCTACCTTCTTTATATACAGGCACAATGGCATAAACAATCATTTGAATAAGCTTCACTCAATTTAGCTAATATAATTCGAGTTTACTCAAATTAGTTACTAGAAATCGAGTTCACTCAAAACAAATTGGTGTCAAGTAATGAATGAGTTCGAACTCTGCCAAAAGATCATGTCCCCCAAATGAGAGTCTGGGTGACAACTACTCACTGAAAACAGACTATAGCCAGCAAACTAGTGGACAGTTCGTTAACTCCCATTAGTTAGACATCCCATTTGTTTGACATCCCATTAGTTGGACATCCCACCATCAGTATAACACCAACTGCAGAACAAAATCCCAAGATTACCAAGGTTTATGGACAAGAAGTCGACCTTTTGAAATTTCGCTATGGACACGAAGTCGACCCGCGGTAAACTTTGATGTTGAAGGCGTTGCTAGAGTCACGCTAATCCGCTAGTAGGTGTTGTTTTAAGATTTTCCATAACCGGAGCATCGTGTAAGGCGTGAACATAGTTCACTCAACATGTCATCAATGTTATCATACATATGAGAGTGAATTCACAATGATGAACATATTTAAGGAAGGAACACGCGGTAGATTGCATTCAATTTCGATATGGCAAATACACAGTTACATCCAGTGGTGGAAGATACCTGTGTGTTGGTGGATTTATGAGTGAAGCGAAATTGGATATCCTGGAAGTGCACAGAAAAGAAGTGTAATTTCACTGCGTCAACTGTCAATGACATTGTGACGATGGTGAAAGGTGACCATGCTCATCCCCGTGTCCAAGTAGACATAAAGGTAAGCATCTTGTCAATGCCTGATATCAATCTGTTACTAAGGAAAATATAAAAGTAAAATAGATATATCAAATCTGAATAATGTACGTGACCATGTTTTGCATATCGTTTAATAGATTTTGTTAACAATTCTAACAATTTATATATAGCAGTAGAGTGGTGTAACGTGGTCTGTGTAAAAGAATGTGTAAAAAGAAATAATAAATCTACTTTTACTATCTTTCAGATGAACCAGTTTGCAAATGGTGCATCTCACCTACTTCATGTTGGATGATTTTGTATACGAAATAAAATGGACGAATTATAGTACTTTTCTCCTGTTGTCTGTGTTCTCAACCGCATAATCTGGATTATAATCTGGATTATCTTTATCTTTTCTCCCCTGTTAATTGGTAAAACACTGGATTATTTCTTTGTCTTTTCTAATCCCCTGTTAATTGGTAAGCCTGTCGTCAAATGGACAGGACGTCGACCTTTTTCTTAACTGAACCGTGACATTTCACCCAAGGGTCGACGTCCTGTGCAGATCTTCACTATTGCTATTCTCCAGTGGGTACCCGGATGATATCCCAGAATTCATGACTGGTTCGTTACCTCTGCTGCGCCACCCTAATGCGCAATTGATAGTATAAGTATAGACTGATAAACAAAAATGAACTCTTTTTCACTCGATAATCTTATGTTGATTTTGTTGTGAAAATTATGTAGACTTTGCATTTGTAGACTTTGATGAATAATTTGGTTTCTTATAGAAAAATATTCACTTTGATAAAAATGGTGATTTTGATGTAAAATTGTGATTTCATAGTTATGTTGACTTTATAAAAATGTTAACGTA